AGCGGCAGTTTGTATCATGGCTCCACGATAGCCAAGCTGTGTAGGTAGGTTGGCTGGGCCAGGTAACACCAGGTTAGGGAGAGTGGCTGCCAGAATCATGGAGTGTGGTCTAGAGAGGACAGAGCAATCTGAGAAGTTTGGGTTATCTGAAGGCCATCTGGGTTGGAAGAGAATTTGGTCCTAATTGCCTCAGTCCCCAGTGGATTTGTATGCTAACAAAACAACTAGTGATGTAAAGCATTTGCATTCTTGTACAGCATTCATACAATTACACTGAGAGCAACATAGTACAGCTCCAAAAAGTAGTCTTAAAAAATTAAAAAACCCATGGCCAGGTGCAGTGGCTTATCCCTGTAATCCTAACACTCTGGGAGGCCGAGGCAAGTGGATTGCTCTGAATTCATAGGTTTGAGACCTGCCTGAACAAGAGCAAGACTCCTGTCTCTAAAAAAATAGCCAGGTGTGGCAGGCGCCTATAGTCCCAGCTACTTGGGAGACTGAGGCAAGAGAATCGCTTGAGCCCAAGAGTTAGAGGTTGCCACAGAACTCTAGACACCACAGCACTCTACCAAGGGTAACAAAGTGAGACTCTGTCTCAAAAAACAAACACCACCAACAAAAAAATTTTAAATTAGTCTGGATTACTTCCACCTTAGGAATCTTCAGGAAGGAAAGTAGTCTGATTTAGATAGCTTGGTAAGTAGCATTCCCTATTCTCCAAACACCTTCTTTCCCACCAGGGCAGAGAGGCTTTTTTCTTTTTTCTTCCTGAATTCAGGAAGAGGCTATTTTACTATTATATTTTTCTGCTTTTCTGCCTGACCTGACCCCACAGCCAGACGCTCCACCCAGACCCACAGATGAGGGGAGGCCTGGCTCCTTCCTCTGCATGACAAAGGGCGGCTGCCCTCCCTCCTGACAACTAATCAGTCCATTGTAAAAAGCCTCCCAATCCACAATCCAGTTCTTCTTTTGGCCTCTAGCGAATTGCCCAATTATTTTATTTCCTCAGCAAAACTCTTTAGGCTGCTGGGAATCCACATTCAGGACTGAGGGCCTGTGTCTTGGGTTATAGGAGTCTGGGAGATTTGTCCTCTGTCTGCTTCTCATGTCTCCTTTACCTCCTTGCCCCTCACAATCTGACCCTATGTTGCCTGAGTCCTTAGTTTACCCAGGATTGATGGATGAACCCTGTTGGTTTCAGGGGGCCTGAGCAAAACTGGGCGCAGAGAAACAGTTTGAGAGAATGCAAAGAACTTTGGCCTGGGAATTGAAAGACCTGACTTCATGCGGGTACTGATCATTAATTGTGTGTGCTTGGGGAAGTTGTCAGCTCCATAAGCTTCAATTTCCTTAGCTCCAAAATCTGGGTTAAGGAGAATGGCTGGGTTAGTCAATTTCAGCTCAAAACTCTCTCATTCTACTAGAACTAGCAGGAAAGGAAGAGGGTGGGGCATCTGGCTTGGCAAACTCACTGTTGGTGCTAAGTGTTCCCAGGCTCCCCTATTCAAAAGAGGCCCACTAACATCAGGAAGGGGTCTCAGTTTCCTAAACTGAGCCAGGTCCCCAGGCTCCCAGTGGTCCCCAGAAGCTCCCTAGGTACCAGGCCCCAAACATCCATTGCTGCAGGCAGGATTAGTTCTCAGGCTGGGTACTGGCTGTATAACCCCATCTCCCCTTGAAGGCTCAGTTCTAGACTTAGTTCTATGCTGTGAGGCTGATCCAGAAATCCAGGCAAGACTTTTGGGGAGGCAGTGAACAAGCAGGAGATGATTCCTCTAGTTTACTGTCTTCTCTGGAAAATGAAGTTTCAGTTTCGCTGGGCAGCTACTCAGGTGTGGAAGGGGTTCTTGATCACTGGGGACTCCCAGAGGCTTAATCCTGAAGTTCCTCTTAGGTGGGAGAGGGCCTTGTGTGTGTGAGGGGGGAGGGGGGCAAGGGGAGTCTGCAGGTCAGGGAAGCAGCAGCAGGGCCTGGCCTCCCTCAGCCCTGGGGCAGCAGGTTCCCAGAATAGGGGTCTACAAGGTCTCCTTGGGAGCTTCCAGCCCCAGGGAGCTCCCAGTGGGGCCTGGATGTTGGGGGCTCAGGAAGGGGGTCATGGCAGCCAAGGGCAGCCTGGGTGTTATATCCTTGGCACCACACCACAGGCTTCCTCTCACCCAGCACCAAGAGTGTTGGACTGCTACATATTTATGGAACACTAGCCCAGAACGGCTTCTAGGGACTGAGGACCACAGGCCCTGGGCTGCCTGTAAATGTGACACTTCTGCACCTTTTGGCCTGACTTAAGGCCCAAATGTTTGCATCAAGTAAGTCTTTCCCCTGCTAATCACTTGCAAAAAGAGGCAACAGCTACCCTTTTGAAGAAGGCTACCCTTGTCAGAGAGCAGGAGGCCTTCTTGGCCCAACACAAAGGTGGGGATTTAGTTCACGGGATGTTCAAACTATGTGAGAGCTGAGCTCCAAGATGGGATTTGAATTTCTTCTTGTGAATTACACAAATTCTGTAGAACTAAATGAGGGAAGGCAAAGGAAAGGGAAGCAGAGAAGGAGCTGAAGTCATGATCCCCAGAGAGTGAGAATTTCTGTATCTTCTCTAACTAGGCTTCTGTGTACAGTGAGCAAATCTGTTTCTTCACTTCAAACAACCTAGCACTTACTAGCTGTAAGAGGTTGGCCTTGTCAGCTAACCCTTTTTTTTAATGCGTTGGTTTCTCTTTCAGCACAATGGAACTAACAATGGCAACTTCCTCCTTGATTTGTGAGAGTAATGAGTTAATGCTGTATATAATGATGTATATAAAGTACTCAGAATGGCGCATGGCCCATGGGCATCATTAGCCATTGTGATTATTGTCAGTGTTATTCTCACTTCTCCCCCTCTTCTGCTGGGATGGTAAGTCCTTCCCTTACTACCAAACCCCCTCTATATGTATATAGTGGCAATTTGTTCATGGTGGCCCTGGGCTTTCATGTCTGTGCTCTTCAGCGCAAAAATTTCTCTCCTCCTTTGCCTTGGATATGTGAAGAGAACAGAGGCCGGAGAAAGATGTGAAACCTATCGCAGCATACCTGCAAAGGGGCCAGAGGGTCCCCTCTAGGAAGGGGGAGCCAGAGGCTCCCTGCCTGCTAGCCCCTTGACCCAGGGTCCTTATCCTCCTCCATCATCACTGCTCAGCTCCCTAGTGACAAAACATGGGCAAGTGAGGCGGCTGAGTTTGCAGCAGGGCTTCCTCTGGCACATCCTCAAATCCCCTCAGCTGCCAGGAGGAGTCACCTGCAGAGACAGATGCCTGAATTCACCTCCCAAGTCCTCCACTAACTGAGGGAGCCTGGACAGGTTACTTCACCAGGCAGAGCTTCTGCTGCATCTGGAAGGCACACCTGAAGCTAACATCTGCCTCGTAAGGGCTGTGTGAATACAAGTTCCAAGTTTAGAACAATGACTGGCACGTAGTGAGCACTCAGGAAATGTTTGCTATGTTTGTTATCGATAATTTAAAAAAAACCACAACCATGACAATGTGGATTTCTGGCAGATGATAATGATAGCAAACATTTGTATGTACATATAGAGGTATGCAGCATTTGTATGTACATATAGAGGTTCACCACGTGCTGGACTAAATACTTTCAATATATTAATTCATTTAATCATCATACTAACCCTCTGAAATAGACTCTATTCTTATCACCCTTTTCTTCAGATGAGGAAACTGAATAACTTGTTAGCAAGTTAATAGCTAGCAAGTAGCAGGACCCATATTTGAACCCAGCCAGCCTAAAATGACTGTTTGAGGAGACCTTGGGGGACTCCCACCACAATATCCTCCCAGTATCTGTGGCTTTGTACAGGGGATGCTTCTGGGCAGCTCTGGCCTCTGAATAAGGTTCCTGTCCCTTGTGTCTGAAAATAACCTGAGCTCAAGCTGAGCACTTGTTGTACCAGCTAGCCAGCTCACAGGGCACAGCATGCCCCAGAATGGTTCTGCTATCTGAAGGGGCAACTCTCGCTCTCCATTCTTGAGATTACAAAGACAGTTACAGAAATCCTTTAATGGCACTACCAAAGAGAACCCAGCTGCCATATTTCTGTCCTGAGAGAATCCAGCTTCCTCTGTCATAGGGGAGGGCAAGGACTGGCTCTAACCTTCAGGGGCCCATGGGGTGGGGGCTATGCAATAACTGAAAGATGGAGGAAGATGACTGAGGAGCTTTTGGGAAGTTGGCCAGGACTGGTGGGAATACAGACTACTTTCCCTCCTTCTCTCTTGATGAAGAAACCTAGGCCCAGGCTTGGCACCTGTAGCTCAAGCAGCTAAGGTGGCAGCCACATACACCAGAGTTGGCGGGTTTGAATCCAACCCAAGCCTGCCAAACAGCAATGACAACTACAGCCAAAATATGGCTGGGTGCTGTGGCGAGCAACTGTAGTCCCAGCTACTTGGGAGGCGGAGGCAAGAGAATCATTTGAGCCCACAAGTTTGAGATTGCTGTGAGCTGTGATGCCACACACTCTACTGAGGGCTACAAAGTGAAACTCCTATCTCAAAAAAAAAAAAAAAAAAAAGTCATTTAGGGTGGCACCTGTGGCTCAAAGGAGTAGGGCACCGGCCCCATATACCAGAAGTGGCATGTTCAAATCCAGCCCCAGGCCAAAAACTGCAAAAAAAAAAAAAAAAGAGACATTTAAGCCCCATGTTAGGGGGACTACCATTTTCACAGAATAGCCTCCCTTTTTCAAGAGCAGGGAAATTCAACAAGCATTAAAAATATTGTTGAGTTGCCCAGACAACACAGCCAGAGGCCTCAGACATCTGGGGCCTCCAGACAGCCCTGCCCTTTCTAGACAACCCCCTCCTCAGGGCTCAGGGCCCTGTCTGGCTGCTGAGCTCACAGGAGGTCTGAGGGGTGTGACCTCCCTCCCTGCCCCCTCCCACCACCCCAGGCCAGCCTAGGGGCTGCTATAAAGCTGGCCCAGCCCTGGCTCTCAGCACACCCGGCTGGGTCTGAGACCCTTCAGGAACCTTCTCAGGGGACGTACCCACTCTGTTCTCACTGCCATGTGCCTCCTGTGGCTCTGCTGGGCACTCTGGATGCTGTCCCTGGCTGGCCCCGGGGCGGCCCTGACTGAGGAGCAGCTCCTGGGCAGCCTGTTGCAGCAGCTGCACCTCAGCGAGGTGCCCATGCTGGAGAAGGTGAATGTGGGGGAGCTGGCCATCCCTGCCCACGTGAGGGCCCAGTATGTGGCCCTGCTACAGCGCAGCCATGGGGACCGCTCCCGTGGGAAGAGGTTCAGCCAGAACTTCCGAGGTGAGCCACTTCGCCCTGCTGCACCCTGATCCTGGGGGTGGGGCAGGCTGGATGTGCCCACTCCTGTGGGGCTCTGTGGGAGGCCATGGGGGCCACCGTCCAAGGGGCAGTGAGGAGGGGCTAAGACATGGGAGAAGAGGAGGGCGGAGGAGGGAAAGCAGGGCCAGTGGGAGGCCAGGCCCGGCAGGACCTCAGAGAGTGCTGTGGTCAAGTCAGGACTTCCTGGGGTCTGTTTCCACATGGCCACTCTGGTCTGAGCCTGACCTTGAGCAAATGGCTTTAACATCTCTCTCGACTGTGTGCTCGTCTAGAACAGGGGTGTGTCTATGTCTTACCTGTCTCCCAGCAGTGCGAACATTAAAGTGAGTCATTGTGGATAGAAACGATACAGTTTAATACCTGATTAATATTCATCTGTCTGGGATGCAACTGAGCTCAGATGCTGCTGGAGCCTCTCACCTCCCTAGGGCTGGGAGCCACCTCCTCAGGCCGTGCGGGGTGTCCGGGGAGATAAGGATGCTGGTCCTGAACAGGCAGCAGAGGTGACTGTTGTTAGCAATGTGACTGGATGCTCGGGTGACCACGCTGCCACCCTGAAGCCTCCGATGTTGAAGACGTGTTGACTGGTGCCTCAAGGAGGGTGTGCCACTGGTTCCTGCCATTTTATCCCGCCCTGCAAAAGTTGTTTATAGGCAGCCAGGTCCTGTTCCTCCTTTGGGAATGTTCACCAGGCATGAGCTCTCTCACTAAAGAGAGAACTGAAAGCAAATGCGGGGGTCTTCTTCTGCCCCTTAGAAAAGTACAGTCCAGCTGGTGACCACATGTGACCACAGCTGGTGACCTCCCAATCTCCATCCCCGCTCCCAGTTTGGTCCCCTTTGCCTAAAGAAGGCTGCACCGGCCGAGTGCAGTGGCTCATGCTTGTAATCCTAGCACTCTGGGAGGCCGAGGAGGGTGGATTGCTTGAGCTGGCAGGTCCAAGACCAGCCTGAGCTGAAGTGAGACCTTATCTCTAAAAATAGCTGGGTGCTGTGGTGGGTACTTATAGTCCCAGCTACTTGGGAAGCTGAGGAAAGAGAATCGCTTGAGCTCAAGAGTCAGAGGTTGCTGTGAGCTATGACACCACCGCACTCCACTGAGGGTAACAAAGTGAGACTCTCAAAAAAAAAAAAAAAAGGAAGGCTGCACTGCTTCACACGTGAAGCTCTTGTCCTTTGCACAGGCTCCTAAAGCTGCCCCTTCCAACTGAGGTTGGAGGTTGCTAGTAAATAAGCCCTAAATCCATGTGATTGTTCCCGGATACTGTGCCTGAGGGCAACATCGTTTTTTCTTATTAGGGGATAGAGATGTTCTCTTTCTTGGTCCACCCACTTCCCAGCCCCCCAATTCTCCCTGTGGATTATTGGGGAAATCTTGGTCATGGACCCTGGGTCCTGCCACCTCAGAGATCCTATGGTATCCGGAGAGGCCTGGTGACCCTGCTTTTGTCCCTAGAGGTGGCCGGCAGGCTCCTGGTGTCCGAGGCCAACACGCACCTGCTGGTGTTCAGCATGGAGCAGCAGCTGCCACCTCACAGCGAGCTGGTGCAGGCGGTCCTGCGGCTCTTCCAAGAGCCAGTCCCCACGGCCGCACTGCACGGGCTGTCCCCACGCAGCGCCCGGGCCCGGGTCACCGTCAAGTGGCTACGCGTCCGGGATGATGGCTCCAACCGCACCTCCCTCATTGACTCCAGGTGGGGGTCGTGGCTGGTGTGTGCAGCGGCTGGTGTGGCGGGGAAGACAGGGTTGCTCGGCCCAGCGCGGGGTGCAGGGTGCGGGAGGAAAGTCGCCCCGGGGCCTTCAGGACAGCCGGTCCCAGTCCCCGCCCCTCACAGAGCTGTCTCTGCCACGGTATCCTGTCTCAGGCTGGTGTGGGTCCACGAGAGCGGCTGGAAGACCTTCGATGTGACCGAGGCCGTGAACTTCTGGCAGCAGTTAAGCCGGCCCCGGCAGCCGCTGCTGCTGCAGGTGTCGGTGCAGAGGGAGCATCTGGGCCCGCAAGCCTCCAGCGCCCACAAGCTGGTGCGCTTCTCCTGGCAGGGTGCGCTGGGCGCCAGGCACGCTGAGCCCCAGCTGGAGCTGCACACCCTGGACCTCAAGGACTATGGGTAGGTGCTGAGGGCCAAACTGATGTGCCGAATAAAGAGACAAATAGGCAATTAAACTGAATTTGTCATGGACAACTTTTCAGGATGCTATGGGAACAATTCGAATGACATGTATAAAATTCTTCCTTCGGGCCAGGTCCAGCGGCTCACACTTGTAATCCCAGCACTCCGGGAGGCCGAGGTGGGTGGATTGCTTGAGCTCAAGA